ACACAGCTATGCCCTCTGCTCCCTCGTCTGTCTTTCAGTGTCACCTCCTCATCATTTTGGAAACTCAAACTGCAGATTCCATGCAGGGCAAATGTTCTAACTAAGCCTGCCTGCAGCATGCTGTGTTCACTGGGCTTTTCTAGGGTGGTAGGAAAAGGGGTGAACAAGAGCTTTATTTGTTTCAGATCCACAAAGTCTGGAGGCCTATCCGAACCTCTGAACTTCCTCAACTTCCTTCCTTAACTTCCTCAGTCGAGCAATTCTAACTTTTGAATGGTAAGTTATGCTTGTAAGAGAGAAAGCACAAGTCAGTCTAAAACTGAATATATGTAAGCATAGTGTAAGTGCAGTTCAAACTTCTGGACTATTTTTTGTTTGTTTGTTTGTTTTATTTTGTTGTTTGAGACAGGGTCTCTCTATGCAGTTCAGGCTGGCCTTGCGCTCACTTTTGTAGCTGGTCTCCAACTCAGCGATCCTCCTGTCTCAACCTCCCGAGTGCTGGGATCACAGGCATGCACCACCCCACCCAGTTCCGTTCTGGACTATTTTTGAACTGACTTGTTTTAGAGAGAATGGGTTGTGGTTTGAATTGTATAGATTCATTTTCTCTGAAATCCGTCACATTTTAAAAGTGATGAGAAACTGGGTTTTTCCCTCTCTATGTCCCAAAATCTAAAATCATAACACATTAAGGAGGATGGAAGAAATTGTGTGGAACTTCATGCTTGCAGAATGAGTGAGTCCTCCAACTCTTAATGAGGACCTTGGTGGAGCTCATACCCCTCTTACCAATGGGGATGATTTCACTGTAAGCTTCCCGCGTCCAGTGCTGCACAAAGCCCTGCACACTCACCTACTCACTACCCTTAACTGCTGCTCTGTGAGGTAGAAAACATTCCAGTCTGTATGTTGGCCCTGAGGAAACTGAGGTTAGCACACATTGAGAAACTTGCCCACAAAGAGATCTGAACTCGGAAGGTAAAAGGGAAGATATACAAAGGAAAATCTTCCCATCCGTAGAAGTTGTCGGACAGAGATAGAGTTTTGGGCGTGAAAACAGAGCAGATCCAGGGGTAGCAGAGCTACTGAAGCGTTTTCCATCCTTCCCCTCTCCTCTGTCCTAACACAGAACAAGGCCAAGGTCCAGAAGAGGGCAGGAGACAGTCTCCTATCTTCCAGCTCCCTAGCTGAGGTGGACTAAGTAACTGTCCCCACCGTCTGCCTAACCAGAGTTCTCTCATAATGCCCACAGTTCTTTATGCCTGCCTGCCACAGCCACCTGATAACAGAAGAATACAAAATAAAACAAGCACAGGTAGTTGCTTCTTTAATGTTGTTAATGAATCAAGGGGCCATAGTAGATCAATTCTTTATCTGCCTGTCAAGATAAAGGGGGGGGCTGGAGAGATGGCTCAGTGGTCTAGAGCACCTACTTGAAACAAGCTTGGCAAAGCACAGGGACTGCAGTTCGATCCCCAGCACCACATGCCAGCCAGACCCACCCCCTGGTGGGCTGAGCTGGCCACACACACACAATAGATGAATGTAATAAATAAAAATAAATAAATAAATAAATAAATAAATAAATAAGATAAAGAGGGGACTTTTGTCCTTGATGTTGACACTATACACACATTAATAGTTTTAAAACAATCACCACCCACCTAGCCCCAGACCTTTGAGACTGGTAGACTTTCTAAGAATCAGGCAACGAAAGAGTTAATGCCTGGCCTGGGGCAACAAGGTGTGCACCAGGCCCTGCTTTCCCTCTTAGCCTTTGGCTGTCTTTGTGATTCCTTACTGCCTAAATGAGAGCTTTGATTAGCACCCTTAGATGCCACAGCCTCGCCAGGACTTCCTTAGGGTTTTGTTGTTTTGTTTTGTTTTTTCTCGGTACCCGGTACCGAGGATTGAACTCAGCACCTTAAACTTGCCAACTCAGGACCCTAAGCTTGCCAGACAAGTGCTTATTCTACTGAGCTATTTCCCCAGCCGCTAGGACTTCATTAGGAAGCCAACAAATTACATACGCACCGTCTGGGTGACATCTCCCACTGCATATAGGGATCCGGACAAAAAGACCAGTGATTGAGGTGTTCTGATTACTTAAGGAACAAGAAATAATCTCACAATCCTTAATATCCAAACATCATTTCTTGAATGTCCCATTACGTACTGTTTTCTAATGAGACACTAAAAATCTGTTTTGCGAGTTTGCCCATCACCCCTCTTATAAACCAAAAAGCAGGGTTTTCCAGCTTTTAATGAAATTGGATATATGAGGAGCTGTAAGTCATCCTAGAATTTGCTTTCCCCCTAGACAGGCAGAAAGGGATGTACCCCTGGGCAGGGAGCAGCCAGCGATTCCTCAAGACAGATCCAAAGGGAAAGACAGAGCTGTCTCCACAACACAAAATCACTCTCTCAAAAAAATTTCTCTCCTCTCTCCTTTTAAGCAGGTGGAAATTTAAACAAAAATGTTGTTCACGTAGTATCAACTGAAAAGAAATATATGAGTTAATCCAGCCTGAGCAACAGAGACACATCATAAAATATTCTAGAAGTTCTGAAGAGACTATCCATGATTCTGTCATGGAATGAACTAAAGGAGTTTCTCAGCACACAAGCACCAAGTTGATACTGTATGTGTAATCACCACAGCTTTGTCCAAGACGCAACCAAGGTTCAGAGAGAGGTAAGTTAGCTAAGTCCACACAGCAGGTGGGCAGGAGAGCCTGCAGAGGAGCCAGGTCTGTGACTCAACTTCTCATTGTCTTTGCTTTCCAGGCACAATCTCAGGGAGATGCAGCAACAATAGCGAGACTGAAATACCTTGACTGCAGCAGGGCAAATATGAAACTAGTAAGAGCTGAGGGAATGAAGGAGGCGAGGATAAAGGCAATCTAAGGAAATCTACACCCCTCTCAGTCCAGAGAGCCTGGAGAACAAGAGAACACAGGCAAGATTGTTCAACAAGGTCCAGGTGACCGGCCTCCTGGGTCCAGCCTCCTTCCAAAGGCTTGAAGCGCCATAAACTGTCTTCTTAGCATCCACATACTTCCCCGGGACTTCTTGAAACACTTGCTGCTGCACCTCTCTGAGGCAGCTCTTCTTTCCACCTTCACTGTCTTCCCATGGTGTCTGACTATTTTTCTGAGTGCACCACTCATAAGCTCTTTCTCTTTAGAATTTTTGACTTTTTTTTTTCTTGTCACCTAACATGGAAAGGCCCGTAACAGCAGGGCTATTTTGTCTATGTTCTCCATTACCTCAGGATGTAGTTGGTCCAGGAATAGTACTAATTAGTAGGCAGGAATATTTGTAACATAAAGCACATAATACAAATCATTGATTCTAATATCTCAATACATATTTTCATAGAAGACTTCCATTCTGTAAGTGGCATTGGCTAATTTCTCCCAAAAAATGTGTTATGCAGAATTCTTCCAAACATAGTTGTCACTGTAAAGAAATCAGAGCTTACGCTGGACCTCCTTTGTTTTCTTCTGTGAAGTTCTCTGCCTTTCCATGTCCTTCCATAAATCCACCGTCACATTCATTCACTTCGTAGGGATCTCAAAATGGGCAAAAGAGTTTTTACTTTGTAAACTGGATTTCCTTTCTTACCACCCCACGCCCCAGATGAATGTTCAGTTTATTGTTTTGATTCTATTCCATCCACAAAATATCCGGTCCAATGAAACCAGTATAGAAAGGAAAGAAGTGTGAGGTCCATAATGGGAAGATCGCTGTTTACATCCTTGCCTACAGGGTCAGGTAACTGGCACAAGCTTTCAAGGAAGGCTCATACTGCAAGTTGCGTGTGTGCGTCCAACTGGGCAGAATATAGATACAGACGCACTCAGCTAAGTAATTGGATTCACTACCTGGAATATTTAAATTGTTTTCAGACACTGGAAATTGGCTTAAGAAGATTAAAGAAAAATACCCTGGAGGATAACAGGCTATAATTTACTAGGTGGAAAAGCTTTTCAGCAAAAAGAATGCCTCATTCTCCTATAATTCCCCTTGATTAAGAGATGTATTAGTCATTTGGACCCAAATTTCCTTCGATCCTGACAGCTCCTCGGGGTTCATTACAGCAAGTTGTTTCATCGAAAAGCCTTTGACAGGCACTCTGGACAAAAACTGATACCATACCGTGCATCGTCAAATTTGTGTTATAGGCCAGATTTAGGAATTTACTATTTAAAGGGTAACTTGGGGTGGAGGAGGGAGAGGATCGGCATGGAAGCCCTGGGAGAAGGTGCAGGTAAATTTTGAGACACGTCTTGAAGCGACTGGTTCTAACTGAAGAATCCAGCCAGCTCACTCCTCAAAAACTTGCCCTCCCCACCCATCTGCAGGCCCACTGAGCCATGCTAGACCCGTCAAGCCCTCCCCCGTCCGCTTCCTAGCTATCTCCAGATGTGTCCTTCCCAGCCCTTCTCCGGGTCCCTCACATGGAGATAGGCGCGAAAGTTTGGCATCCAAGACCACCTGTCGCTGGACAGCTGCGTCCTCTGCCGCATGGCTCTCAGGAAAGCGCTGAGTAGGTGTGGTGATGAACAGTTTTGGATTGGGGGTGGGGGGGCTCAGACCTTCTTCAAATGGTGGGAAAGAGGTGGTCCTAAGGATGTGCCTGCAGGCAGAGGGGCGCGTTCGGTTCCCATCTGACGCTTGACAGCACCCGAACTTCACACTCCCCTTTTGGCAAACTCGGACAGGACCGGTCCCCAGGCCAAGCCCGCCCCTCTTCCCCAGGAGTCCAAGAAACTGAAGATTCGGGAGGCGAGGGTCGGAGGCAGCCGTGCGTACACCCTACCCCTGAGGACACCCGGGCGCGCGAGGCTCCTGTGCTCCGCCACCCACCTCACCTCGCACATGCCCACCTTGCGCCCCGGGCCTCCCATTGCATAACGCGCCCCTCGCCCCACCCCCACGCGGCCTGCCCCGCCGTGCCCGGGCCAGCACCCCAAGCCGGCCGCCCCGGGACTTACATCATCCCACTTGACGAATTTGGTGCCTTTCTTGAGGCTGTCGGACACGCACACGGGCTTGAGTTGCAAGGCGTGCACTCCAGGCTGAGCCCCAGCCATCTGGGCTCATCGGGGCTCCGGGCGGCCCGGGCGAGCGTGGCAGGGTCGGGGCGCGGGGCGCCGGGCGCGGGCTCCCTTCTCCGCGCCGAGGCGCT